AGGTTTGGCGGGTTGAAATGATGGGCCCGGCCCGCCAATTTTTGGTGAGTCAACGGGCCGGCCCGCGGGTCACAATTCATTTTGCCATCCCTAAAAAAGGCTCACTAAATGAACCACTTGATTTGTGTTGGTCATCGAATTCTTGTTCAACGACCACGTTTTTGTTAAGTGAGCAAACTTCATTGTGACTCTCCATCATGCAACTCTCGCTCAACGAACAGATTGGCTCACTAACCGAAAATCCAACTTCAACTCTCAATTTTCTTATTGATTCTTTAAGTGTTGGAGCTTGCAACTCTCTTCATCTTCAACTTCTCTACAAAAAGAGTTCCATTTGTGATATTTAAGTCAAGATTCCTAAAAATTACAATGAATTGTAAACTATGAACTTATACCAAAAAGAGATTGTCAACACTAGAAATAAGGGGAAAAAGGTAATTGTCATTTACACACTTGATATTAAGTAAATCACACAATTATCAACAGGTCATTACCCTTAGTATGGAATAATACTACATAGCGAAAATACTTAACAATAGTTAACTACCCTAGGAATCTCATGCAACAATTACCTTATCATTTATGCAATTTATACATGTATAAGGTAGAAAACATAATGCTAAAAGTATAAATCCCATTAAGGGGTTACATATACACCATGTACAATATATAATCTACATGAACTATAATTATACACACACAAAATTCCTAATTGTTGGTTAAGTGTATATGCGATAAATATGTTAATCAAAGTTATATCACCAAAACTAGGCAATCACCAGTATGGCCCTCCACCAACTAACCAAGTCATTCTACTAATCTTGTTCTGCTCTTATACAAAGTATGATCATTACAATTCCAACCACAAGGGAAAAAGAGGGTAAATTTGTGAAAAAATTCAACACACAATAAACAATATAGAGTGACAACATAAGCAACTTGAACAACAATAGATTATCTTACCACACATGTTCAACTTATCACCAATTAGAACATATACAACTTACTACACAACACAGTTTAGCAACTTCAACCAAAAAACATTCTCAATATCAACAATAATAAGAAACTAATATGTCATCACATATATCAACTACAGGGATCTCCTACAATAAAAATGAGTACTTTAAGTTATTAGACCTTACCAAACCATAACGTCTAACCTATCACAACTAGCCAAGTATAAATAGCGTTAGGCCTCATCAAAGTGTCAAGTACACAACTTAGATTGTTTTCTCAAGTTTTGCCTTGAACTAGGAAAGTTTAGTACTACTATCGAGGTAGAAAAACTTGAATGTGAGTCTACCACTGTCTTAGCATGCATAAACTAAGTCTTTTATGAAATTAGTCTACCGACTACCCTCCAAGTACTATACACCTTTCTAGTAATCAGTTAAGTATTTTACCCCTTAATAACTTCATACTTTACTCAGTGGATCACACTTTATACATGTATGACTCAACTTGACCCTTATACAAATTCCACATAAAGTCTAGAGGAGACAACTTAAAAGTAACTATCTATTTAGAAGCCAACTTCCTTATTGAAGGGTTCTCAACTTGATCTCTTAGAGCACCATAACTTATATATGCACAATGAAATATTTTAATTTCTAAAACAACTTTAATCTCCTATAATTTTTATGTATCTTAACTAAGACATATCTTCAACATATGCCTAACAACTTTACAACTTAATCAACTATAAACATCATACAACTTCACAATTTCATTAACTATCAACGTACAACTTACAAATTAATCAACTTCATCAAGTCTCTTTTACGAGCAACTTTAAACATCATCATATATATCATCATCCATATAAGTAATTCATCATACTTTAACATTCATTGTATAATTGAGTCATCATTCTTTAACTATTAAACAACTTAAAACATTACATTTCATTAGTTAACTAACGTCTAACGCCATTCTCTACACACTCATCATTATTGAGACATGAAACTTTTGTCTCGTCCATGCCCAATGCCAATCCACTGGCACCCAACGTGAATGAGGTAGAGTTTCTTAGTCTTTCACGCCTAAGGTGACAAAATCCATGTCCAACCTCATTTCAAATAGAGAGTCTCTCATTGATCTAATTTATTTTAATAATATTAATTTTTAGTTTATAAATAAATATGATAAATAAAAATTAAACTTAATAATTTTAAAAAAAAATTTAAAAATTCTCTCATCAAATAAATTAAAATGGCTAAAAATGCTTTTGTTAAAAAATACCTCCTAAAAATACTTTCATGTAAAATAGTCATTTATATTTAATACAAAAATATGAATTATAGTTAAATTTTATTTTTTTACATACATTTTATTATCGAATAAAATTATAATGAATTATTTAAAATGGTGTGAATTTAATTTTGTCTAGTCGGTTCAACGTTTTTATTAATAATTCTCACAAGAAATTTGCACTAATAAAAATATTAAACTGCTTTAAGTATTTCTTATTTACAAATATTTACCTTTTCCATATGAAAAAATAAAAATGTCGTTTTTTATTTTAATTTTTGAACTTTTTGAGATTTTTGAAAATTTTTGATTAGGGAGCTGATCTACCAATTTATTCGCATGATTAACTAAAGTAATTGGTCAGATGAACGGCTAATGAAAATGAAACTACCAACTAAATTAATTAAAAACATTAATTTTCTACGAAAGAAAAATAAAATAAGCCTAATTTATATGAATTTTTTTTTATAAATTAATTTATGATATGTTAATTTTAGTTTATGAAGAAGTTTTTGTTATTTTTTTATGTTTTTTTTTCAAGAAGTGTTTATGAAAAAAGTTTATGTAAATAAGCTTATAGTCCATATTTAATACTTTGTTTGAATTATGAAAATTTTGAAGAAAAAAAGTATAGTAAAAACTAAAAAGAAGTAGAAGAGAAAAGAAATAAATAAAGATTTAACAAGATTTGTCATAAAATATCTTCCCTTATAAAGATTTTTTTTTTTAATCATGGATGATACCAATCTTTTTCTTTCCTTACTTCTCTTTTCTTTGTTGTTTTTTTCTTTCTTTCAAACAATCAAAAGAATTATTCTCCCTTACACTTTATTTAATCTTGTTCTTTCCTTTTAAAATCTCTTAGAAACAAACACGACATATTTTAAATGAACCCCTCGTGTGATAAGTGTCGATTAAAATAAATTTTATATGTATTGACAAAACACCAATCTCATAATATGTAATGTAAATTTTACATACTAGTTAGTAATAAAGCATATTAAAAAATGTTTTAATGATATGTTATCATTGACACTGGTGTTAATGTCAGTTTCTTCAATCCTTAGTAGTTTAATTCACATCAAGTGGATGCATGCATGCATGCATCATGTTTGGAGGTAATTAGTGTAAGAGAATGTCTTTTTTTTTTTTTTTGGTTTTGAGAAATTCAAATTTGTCATCCCCACTTAATTGTAGCTTCATGCTGGATTTTCCAAAGGAAAAGTAATGATGATATTTGTACAAATATCATTAACTACATAGGACGGGGGTTGTGGTTGTATAAATATTTTTATTCTGGAAATTGAAATATATAGAGTTGATTTGTCATACATGATATGATGATCGATATCTGATTGTATAAAAATTGATATCATAAAATCTAATAGTATTTTAATATTATGCAATATTGTATAAAATACTATGCATTATATTAAATTTGATTTCGTTATATTAACTAAATTTTAGAAAAATAAAAGCCCACAATGGCGTTAGAGAAGAAAACTTGACTACTTTATACATAAATTTGTTTTAGCGAAATTTCTATAAGGATCTAATATCTAATGGTCATTAAAAAAAATTTAGGAGAGTTATCCATGTGTCTTGGATTCCCCTAAAACATAGATATATATGGGCATATAATTAGCTTTTTATCAAAAAAAATAAATCATATGCACTAATTTTCTTTTACCATCTATTCATTACTATACTACGAGAAGATTATTGGTGTACCCCTTTGTAGGTACACTTACATAAACAAAGACCCATATACAATAATTAGGACAATAATAGTTTTAAGAATTGCCTATGAATTAGCAATAAAAAAAAAGGAGCAGAAAAATGTGAGAATCTGACAGAGTGATCAAGGGTATCATGATCGCATCCTATCACCTTATAGGGCTAAAAATTAAAATTTATATCTAATTTCATGTTACAGATCAGAAAAGCACATTGGACTTTCTTCGTTTTGTTTATGGAAGTCCTAGCAGGTTAAAATTTAAAAACAACCAACATTAATTTAACCGATGATTCCATTCTCATACGTGTGTGTACGTTGGCCCCAACAAGTCAAGCCAATAACTTTTACCTTCGTTCCTAGACTCACCTAATTTAGTATTTGTATAAAGTGGGCTTTGAATTATAATATATAGTCTTTCATTCAGAAACGTTGAGTACATCTTTAAAATAGTATATGGTCTTATCAATGGTTGATAGAGAGCTGAATCCGTTATTGAGAATGTTGATTGAGATTTAATTAAATTCTAACTAGAATGTTGATTAAGATTTAAATTCTAATTAACTAGGTGCATGAAAACGGTTTTACTAAAAAAAAAATAACTCTAATTAGACCGTTAATTAGAGAATACTCTAAAACAAAAAATAACATATATATCCAAATCCTCTTGTTTACGCTATTGAAAAGTTCTACCACTGCAAATTAATCCTGTTATCCTAACCACAGAAACATGACTCCAACCTTGGTACAACCCCTGCCGCCAATAATTATTTATAACTTTCCAAGAAAGGATTTGACAAATGAAGATTTTACATCATTTTCATTTTAAATATAGTATGGGAATTGAATTCGACATTTATTCCTAGGGTTATGCAATACTAGTAGTAGTACACATGATGCCGGTCCAGGCACAACGTTGTCTCCTCCAAAACAAGTTTTGACACGAAGGGAGATAAAAAAGCATGATGAGATAAATATACATGTTTATACCTAAGATATGTTCGAAATTGATGAAAGAAAGTTGATTATTACTACCCTTTTTTTTTATAAGGAAAATGGTTTTACAAAGATGTTTCTTGTCTTTTTCCCACTATTCATTGGTGCATATATACGTTGGTGCTGTAATTTGGTGGTAATGGTGACGTAAGTATTAATTATTGACTGCAATAAGAAGAACATAGTAGAATCTTCAGAAGACAGCCACCCACACGGTAGTTGAGAGTTGAAAGTCACATTTCCAATTAGATGCATTTTGTTGACCAAGTACTCCTTTCTTACATATAAAATGCATATATTATATAGGTGGGTTAAGGTACGGAGGAGGCACTTATAGTTATATCACTAAAGAAAAACAACAACATGTATTAATAATATGTTAATGTTGTGCCAAAATTCTTAAACCGATAGCTTGAGAATTATCAACTCTAAAATCGTATGCCATAGAGAAAGATTATTTTATTTTCAAAGAATCATTTTAAATCTTCTTGCAACATCTTCCAGCTAATTAATCTTCCTATTTCTCTTGTATGGTAAATATGTTTTTGTAAAAGTAACATTCTCCCAACCATCTTGTTTGACTTCTTAATTAAAAAAATTGTCCTGCTTTAATTGTCGTTATTACAATATTAATAAAATATTAAATATTATATATATATATATATATATATGTATATATATTATATATGAAATAAAATTAATTAATATGAAAGATAAGGATATAATAAAAAAATTGCATGACATTTTTTTTATGAAATCTAAAATATGATAAACATTTCTTAATCTTGTACATATGCTAGAAGAAGAATCTTTTTTATACTCAAAATTCATAATTCTTAGAATGAATAAATCTGTTTGGTGGCTAGTCACAAATATTTGTATATTTTCTTAGAAATTAAAGATTCTTGCATTTAATTTTAACATAGTTTTTTCAAAAACTTTAATTACTTATCACATTAAATTAGCTAATAAAAATAATGTGATATATTTTATCTATAAATATGATATTTATTCCAACAAAACTCTCCTCCCAAGTCCACAAAGTCAAAACATTAATTAATATTTATCACATTAAATCAGCTAATAAATAAGTAACAGTGTTTTCAAGAAATTAAATTAATACATTTATTTTTCATTTAACACTTTTGAATAAGATAAACTAGAGTATATTTTCTTTGTAGTATGTATTTTTTTATATAAAATAATAATTCAACCATAGAAGATTTGTAAGAAATACAGTCATGTTATTCAATTGTAAAATCATTTCGTATATCATTTGATAGTCTCTCACAACTATGGGCAGCCATTTTTATTAGTCAAACCCGCCGTTGAAAATAAACAGTATTCACTTCACCACCAACTGCTTAAATAATACTGAAAATTCTCCGCCAACCCAGCTAGCTACTTAAATGAATATGGTCACACAAAGACTCAAATAAATTAAGACCAATTTTTGTGAACACTATTTGAAATAGTCTTTTATTATTAATTAAAATTTTATTAAAAATAATAATTTTATAAATTTCGCATCTTATTTAATGGGTCTCTATTAATTTGGAAGTAGCACCATCAAAATTTATTATTTTGAATTAATAAAAAGAGTATTAGAAAAAAATATTGCTAACACTTTTTTTGTAAAATAAACCCATGTTGGCATGCCATGCCATGCCCCTACGACTCTCCATGGTTAATTTGAGCCATAATTTGGCATGCTTATTAGATATACCATATATCTTCTGAAAATGATTTTTCGTCCATCCCTTGATTATTAAATTAAAATCCCTCGCTAAAATTAGTTTTATATATACACATGCATGGGAACACATGAGAATATTTTATACGTTGAAGTTAGTCAATAATGTAATGTGGAAATACTGTACACGATGCCCCCACCTTTCATTTTGTATTTTCCCACACCACACGACACCACTATATATACATGAAAATGTTTGAGAGAAATTGCAGCACACACAAGGAGGAGAGACCAACACAAAGTGGTAGCTAAATAGAAAACTAGCTAGCTAGCTAGGGTTAACATGGCTGAAACTAAGGAAATATGGTCAGCACCAATAACTCCTAGAACAGCTTCAGTGGTTGGAACACCAGTGGTGGCATCTCCACCTGTGTCATGTCCACCCTCTCAGCTTCATTCACCATCTCTAACAAGGTCACCACTCCTTCACTCAGAGGATGGAGATGCACCACGTCCTAAAAGTAGGACTCCTAAGACCCCAAGAACCCCACTTAGAATATCGAATTTGACTCCAAGGTTTATCACCCCTTTGGGAAGCCCTGTGAGGAAGGCTTTGAAACTCACCAAGCTTGATCCTCAAGATGCTTGGCTTCCAATCACTGAGTCTAGGAATGGTAACAAATACTATGCTGCTTTTCATACTCTTTGTTCTGGGATTGGAATTCAGGCTCTTGTTCTCCCCGTTGCATTCACTATTCTTGGTTGGTAAGTCTTTCTATCTGTTAATTTGAATTTAATGGTGATGTATGTATTGTGAATATAATTTTTTTTACATGATCTATGAATCAAAAATAGTGTTGAGAAGATTTTCTATATAATTATATATATCATAAAAGTCAATAAATTTATCATAAAAAACTTGTTTTCATCACTTCAAATAATACATATATGTTACTTGTGTTTTCTTTTTGAGGAATGTTATTTTTATTTATGAAAGCATGTACGTAAGTTGCTGTTTGTTTTTCATTTAAAATAAATAAATAAAGAGCAAAATTTGACATAAAACAAGTGGGATTCATGGATTTATGATTTTCGTGAGTATTTGACACCTACGACTAAACATTTTTCTTTCTTTTTAATGTATGTTTCTACCTTCTTGGATTTAATTACTTATTAAATGTTAAAGGATTACCAACCTAACTTTGTAACAAAGTGTTATTAATTTGTTTTATATAAATTAAAAAATCTAACAACGTGTCACATAAAAAATGAACAGGGTGGTAAATATGTTTCTACTATCTAATAATTTCTTATTTTTATCCTCGATCAATCTCTTTCCTAGCTACAGTTTCTCCGTGTGTACGTATTAGTCTTCTGACACATATGAAATGATTTTTCCATTTCATCTTGTCTTCGTTTCCCCCTTAATTTATTGAATTGAAATGAAATATATATGAACAAAACTTTTAAAAAAATATAATAATCATGTTATCTAAAAAAGGCATTAAAACGTTCCTAGTTCTATGTATATGTTCTCTTTTTACCTTTCAATTTGGTGGAGATAAGGTTAATTAACTTGTGGTAGATTTTTAAATGTGTGCATGTTTGTAATGTATCAAATTACAGCTAGGATTCTTTGGTTACATCCAAACAGTTGGAATTATTATTAAAAAAACCATAATAACAATAATAGAGTAAGTTGTATAATATAAAGTGATACCACTTTGTTATGATTGTAACTGATTTACGTTTCATGCGATTATTTTTAATGGAATCAATTCTAAACTCAATTATTTGATTTTCAAATAAAATAACAGATATAATATATTTAATGGCCCCATGTGATTGCTCTGCATGGAATGATTTAATATTTAATTAAGAAAAAATTTGGTGGATTGTAGGACATGGGGAATCATAAGTTTGACTATCGCGTTCATATGGCAACTTTACACCTTGTGGCTGCTGGTCAATCTTCACGAGTCAGTAGAACACGGTGTACGCTACTGTCGATATCTTCAACTCTGCTCTGCTACCTTCGGTATGATTTCTCCACGTGTCCACTATATTTCTTTTCTATTTTTTAATCCCATTATTTTACATAAAATAATTCTTTTACCCAATAAATTACATTAGCATTTGTGTAAACAAGATGTTTTTTCCAAGCGTTTAATAGCATGAATTCTAATAAAAAAAATCATTGTTGTATATATGTTTTTAACATAATTATTATAAAAGTCAACAAATTTAATATATATATATATATATATGTATATATATATATATATAAATAAGTGTTTATATAGATGAATGGTCATTGATCTAACAGATTTTTATATACAAATCAAACATTCGATCCCTGCCATTATATATATAGTTTATAATTAAATGATAGATATAAAATTATTTTATTTTTAGAATTTTTTCTCTATTATTAATCCCATTATTCTCAACTAATAAAGTATGGGAATGATGTGTTGCAGGGGAAAGACTGGGGAAATTGCTAGCCATGTTCCCAATATTGTACCTATCAGCTGGGACATGCACCACATTGATCATCATAGGAGGGTCCACAGCAAGGACATTTTATCAAGTGGTGTGTGGGGAATCATGCACTGCTAAACCTTTGACCACTGTGGAATGGTACTTGGTCTTTACCTGTGTGGCTGTGGTGCTATCACAGTTGCCAAACTTGAATTCCATTGCTGGGGTCTCACTTGTTGGAGCTGTCACTGCTGTAGTGTATTGTACCTCCATTTGGGTTACCTCTGTGGCACAGGGTGCCCTTCCAGGTGTCAGCTATGATCCTATAAGAGCTTCAAGCAATGTTGAAAGTGCCTTTAGTGTGCTTAATGCCTTAGGTATCATTGCCTTTGCTTTTAGGGGTCACAATCTCATCCTTGAAATACAGGTAATTATGTTCCTCTATCCTAGTTGAATTTTGTGAAATTAGTGAAAAATTGAATCATGAGATCAAAGGGTAGAATAAGTTGTCGTTGATTCATATGTTGAGTACTTTTCACTAGTCAGAGTCACATAAGCAGAAAGTTTGAATTTTTATTTTATTTTTTTGCTGTTTTATCTTTTGACTTGATAGGGTTGAAATTCGTATATTAATTGCTTAGTAGTTAGTTGATAATAGATATCAGAACGTAGAATACTGTATTCAGAGTTGAAATAAAGTGCATGAAAAGAGAGACCAGGTCAAACATACAACATTGCAAATTTGAAACTGAAGTTAGTGGACGACTTTGCTTTTTGTATGAATTAGTCCACAATGACGTTCGGCATATGGGGAAAAAAAATCATGAATTAACGATAAGTGTTGAGTATGATCAATCTCATTTATTAGGCCATCCAAATCTCAATTTTTCAACGAGGTTGAGCTAAGCTTTAGATATTTAATTGGTTTTTTAGATTCAAATATTAAATTATTCATGTAAAAAAAAATTCCTTGTTATATAATCAACATAGAAATACTTCATCATATATGTTTTTTTTTTATTTTTAAATTTCTTGCATTGCAGTCCACTATGCCTTCAAGCGAGAAGCATCCATCACACGTGCCAATGTGGAAAGGAGTCAAGGTTGCTTATGCACTCATTGCTGCATGCTTATTTCCCTTGGCCATTGGTGGCTATTGGGCTTATGGCCAATTGGTACGCACCTAACTATATCAATGTGTAGTAACATAATTCATAATCACATTTAATGACTACACACTACTTTTATTTAGTCATCTTATCACGATTCACCTTTTATATATAATAGTTTGTACCTTATTTTGTCATAATAATTTTTCATAGTCCTTAATATTATGAAATACAATGTATTCTAATTCATGTGACATAAAATTTGCAGATTCCTTCAAATGGAGGAATGTTGACAGCCCTATACCAATACCATTCCCGTGACGTGTCAAGGTTCGTGCTAGGGCTAACAAGCTTCTTCGTAGTGGTGAATGGATTGTGCTCGTTTCAAATCTATGGCATGCCAGCATTTGATGACTTGGAATCACAGTACACAACAAGAATGAAGAAGCCATGCCCTCGATGGCTGCGTGCCCTATTTCGAGTGTTCTTTGGGTTCATGTGCTTCTTCATAGGAGTGGCGATTCCCTTTTTGTCTCAGCTGGCTGGTCTAATTGGAGGAGTGGCACTGCCAGTGACATTGGCATACCCTTGTTTCATGTGGCTTAAGACAAAGAAGCCAAACAAGTATAGTGGCATGTGGTGGCTCAATTGGTTCTTAGGGACATTTGGGGTGGCTTTGAGTGCCATATTGGTTGCAGCTAGCATATATGTTATCATTGACACTGGTGTTAATGTCAGTTTCTTCAATCCTCAGTAGTTTAATTCACATCAAGTGGATGCATGCATGCATGCATCATGTTTGGAGGTAATTAGTGTAAGACAATGTCTTTTTCTTTTTTTCTTTTTCTTTTTTTGGTTTTGAGAAATTCAAATTTGTCACTCCCACTTAATTTGTAGCTTCATGCTGATTTTTCCAAAGGAAAAGTAATGATGATATTTGTACAAATATCATTAACTACGAAGGACGGGGGTCGTGGTTGTATAAATATTCTTGTTCTGGAAATTGAAATATATAGAGTTGATTTGTCATACATGATATGATGGTCGATGTCTGATTGTATAAAAATTGATATCATAAAATCTAATAGTATTTTAATATTATGCAATATTGTATAAAATACTATGTATTATATTAAATTTGATTTTATTATGTTAACTGAATTTTAGAAAAATAAAAGCCCACAATGGCATTAGAGAAGAAAACTTGACTACTTTATACATAAATTTGTTAGCGAAATTTCTATAAGGATCTAATATCTAATGGCCATTAAAAAAAATTTAGGAGAGTTATCCATGTGTCTTGAATTCCCCTAAAACATAGATATATATGGGCATATAATTAGCTTTTTATCAAAAAAAATAAATCATATGCACTAATTTTCTTTTACCATCTATTCATTACTATTGAGTTTTAAATATTAATTTTTTCATATGTTAGAAATAAAAAAAAAAGTAATATGAAATACAATTGAAACTAAACGCTAAAATGTGTTTAGGAGTCAAATATACTCAAAAACTTATTTTTATTTGGTTTTTATTCTCTCTATTGCTATTCTTTTTTTATTAAAATCATTCACACTCTTTAAATGTATTCCGCAAATCACCCACTATTATTTTTTAAAAAAAATATAGAGAGGAATGCAGTGTTTTTTTTCCACAATCTAATTAAAACTATAAAAATGTAACGAATTATTTATAAGTTTTAATATAATATATTGAATTTCTAGAGTAGCACCATTGTAGTTAGTTCAAATAGCAACCAACCATGCAAATAAAAAGTTGAGTAACAATCTTCATCGGAAACAACAATCTTATTGTCTACTCTATTATTTGTATGACGGATATGTTCAAAAGTCTTAATACTAATACCTCTCCTATTATTTTTTTTTATCAATAAAAAGAGTTTGATAAATAAACTTATATATCACACAAAACAATTGATAGAATCATAATGTATTCGTTAACTTAGCCTTGTCGGGGAAAAGCATCCCCAAATAATAGAGAGGCTTGTCAAAGGTGACGAAGAGTCATTAACAAATTTTGAAAAAATGTCATACCAACATTTGAAATGGGGTACTTCAAAGGGGCATACAACATTTGAAAAATGCCATACAACAACATCACAGCATGTTCTAATTTCTAAAGCGATGATGGTGATTGGTGGCTACTACTATCACACACAACGTGTTCAAACGTAAAAATATATTAAAGCGCTTATTATAATATATATTCAAACTTAAATAACTTTTTGAATTTTAATCACTTATAACATAATAACATAAACTGTTGTGTAATAAAAACTCATAAAAAAAATTATTAAGTTGCTTTCTCAAACAGAAAAGAGACTTAGAAAAT